TGAAACAATTCTAATGGAAAAAATAAAAAAAAAGAATTGTAATTTTGAATTGATTTGATTATTTTTAAATCATTTTCTCATTTTTAACATAAGCCAGCGTCTACAAAAAGCATAAAAATTAAGCAATTCAGATGCAAGATTGAAGACATGATGGGTTAACAAGAGGGATTAAAATCGTTTACATTTTAATCTATTTTGTGCAAAACATTTGAATTAGAAATTGGATTAAAATAATCAACTATAATCGATTATAATTGATAATCTTTGTATTGAAAAAAGATGGGTTAAAGATTGATTAAAGTTTGACAACAAGGACGTTCTCCGTGATCTTCCTTTGTTCTGTAGACAAACCGAATTGTGCTCCTATCCAGTGCACAGTTTGCTTTTGTTTGAACAACCCGCATCCAATTTCAAGCGTTAATAATCAATTATATTATGATTTTGGTACCAGTTTTACTAAAAATGAGAAAAAATTGATTTTAATCAGTTATTAATCAATTATAATCTCTTTTTGAAATTGAATTTTATTTTATTTTAATCGATTATAATCGTTTATTGATCTATCTAGTTTTGATAAAATTATAATCGATTATAATCGATTTTAATCCCTATCGTTTGCCCATTTTGTCTTAGACCTAGCATCCGAATTGCTTATATTTTTATGTTTTTTATAGATGTTCTCTTATGTGAAACATCAGAGAAAGGTTTTAAGCGTTATCGAATCAATTCATTTTTTAAATTTTTTATTTCATTTCTCCATTAAAGTTGGACCATGATGCACATCTTAAGTCTTTTTATCCGCCAAAATATATGCACATTGCTTTAGTTTCTTGATTTACTTATTTTTCAAATACCGCGGGAACCTTTCAAATAATACGAAGATATGAAACTCAATGAAACTTTTGTTTGGTGCTAAAACTTTGTGTTCAGATGTACCAAATGTGACAATGTATCTCGTTTCTAGAAATTTTATTATTGAGAGAAAAATTTGGGGTCCATGTGATATAAGAAAATTGTACTTTTGGTGTTACAAAGTTGTTACAAACAAGAGATTATAATCGATTATAATCGATTACAATTGATTTAAAGTGGTTTTTGTATGAACTGTAATCAATTATAATCGATTATAATAGATTATAACCTATTGGAAAATATCACAATTATAATCGATTATAAATCCTTTAAACACACTAATAAACAGGATTTATAAATCCATTATAAATCTTGGTACTTATAATCAGTTATAATTGTCAAAAATCATCGTAATAAGCCGTTATAATCAATTGCTTGCGCCTAAACTTGGATTCGGGAAGCTCAAAAACAACGAACTTCAAAACATGGCAGAATTCACCTTCATGCTAGCTGGAAGTTAAAATGAGTTGACAAATGCAAAGCCTAAGGAAAACTGTTAAGCTCGTAAAACGGACCGTATAGCAGTCAGGAAACAATCCCCAAGTCTACCAGCTTAGTCTACCCCTCGGAAAAGTCCATGTCTGATTTTTGTATCAGTGCTTTCAGAATCAATCATCCTGCGTTTTCGATGAAAAATACTTTTTTTGCTATAGAAAAAATAGTTTTTGCTATCAATGAAGTTATGTGCAGTGAAAAGCTTTGTTACAGAAAAGCATGTTTATGTTTTTTTTCAGTCGCTTTCATGGTTGCTGGGTGCTTTTGCAGTTTCACATCAAGTTTAATGGCTGAGGCAGTTTTGGCGAAATTCTGCCAGAAGTCAGTTTTAAGGGATATCGAAGTAACAATGAAAGGAAACTCATTGAAAGCAGCAAATACGTTCGGACATACAAGCTTTTTTCCAAACATAAACGGGATCACATCTTCGGAAAAGTAAAAAGATATATATTTAACATTTTTCTTTCTTGAAATCTCCCATAACGAAGACTCCACCCCGCATCTTTTTAAAAAAAAGAACAGTTTTTGCATCTGAAAAGTGTCCGCCGATTTCAATTTTTAATTGAGTATTGTCATGATCGAAGTATTTGCTGCTTTTGTTTCATCTTATTTTCTTCTTGTTAGTGTGACAATAATTCATCTGGAAGCTTCTTAGGAACCCATTTGCCAAAATTATCAGAGGAAGTAGTTTCTGGTCGGCTGCTTGTGGCTGAGATAGAGGAGTTAAGTTTCAGCTGAGAAGTGAAGTCAGATTTTTTAACGTCTGCTGATGTCGTACGCGGACTTTAAAGACACGAAAAACCCAGGTAGAGTTCTAAATCTTCATGAAATAATGAATTACTTAGTTAGAAAAATTAAATATGACCTCAAAATAAGAGCAGCTGAATTTAACAATTAACAGAGTAGCGACCACGAAAAATTTCCTTTAAAATTGTGTTTTATTCTCCAAATTTTTGCAAACTGTGGACAAAATAGAAACTTAAGATGAATGAAGTTACGCTGGATCAAACAAGTAATGATGTTCCTTATAAGTTTTCTGAAAAAAAATGAAAAAATACTTTGGTAGATCCTCTAATCGTTTCGCTCAGCGTGTCAGTGTGTTACGTTTCAGTTGAAGTTCATTTCGTTTGACGCAGGGGCGGATCTAGGATTTTCTTCTCGAGGGGGGGGGGGTCTCCGATTTTTCGAAATACTTTCGAAAAATTTGACGACCTTTTTTTTAAGTCCACCAAATTGATTTTCCGAGCTCTCCTAGAGCACTAAAAACACGCTGATTTGGCCAAATTTTCTGCGCCGCACGCAAATTTTTTAAAAAACAAGTCAAAAAAGCCGTTTTTGGGAAACTTTTGGAAAATTTTGACAAAAAATTGCGTTTTTTTTTTGGCGCGCTCCCCCTCAAAGTTATTATATATTGGCTACAAAGGCGCCTTTAGAAAAATTTTAGAGTCGGTCGGCCAAAATTGGATTTCTTAAAAAGTACCAAAGGGGGGACCCTTTGGGTCGGCAGGGGATCAAATCCCTGAGAGGGGAGGCGTTCGCCCCCACCCCCAGCCCCGTCCTAAATCCGCCCCCGGTTTTACGCCTTCTTCAAACATAGTAGCGGTCTTAGTGGTGTTGGGGCGGGGGGAATTGCTGCGGACGCCCCTCTTCTCAGAGATTCGACATCCCGCTGACCCAAAGGGTTCCCCTTTGTTCTATTTTGAGATATTCACTTTTGGCTAACGGACCCTAAAATTTTTCTAAAAACGCCTTTGGCGAATTTTTTGTCAAATTTTTCCAAGTGCCTAAAAACGCCTATTTTTGTCTTTTAGAATTTCGCCGGTTACGAACAATGAGTGAGAAATGTCTTAATATGATAAAAAACGCACTCTTTTAAATTTTTTGGGTCTTTCCGGTCCCCCCCTATTATGAGAAATGAAACCGAAAAGTTTTACAAAAAAACTAGATTGATATCACCATGAATTTTGTGGCTGATATTCAGAGAGCTTCGAATCAATTTCGGAAACTCCACTATCCCGGGTTGAAGTCACAGTGAAAGTCAGTACTTCTCCAGAAAATTATTAGTGAAATGTCAGTTCTATATCAGATTCTGGCAAGTGGCAATTCAGCTCTGATCAGAGATAAATCAGAGAAAAAACCGCAGTACTGTAACGGTACTGAATCAGTGCTGTTACAGTACTGTTTTTATTCTACTAGTTTTCTGATCAGAATAAAATAAGAGTTCTTGTTCTTATACTTCTCTAATCATACTAAAATTAGAATTTTTTTTTTATTATTTCTATGGCCAGAAAAAAATCAGAGATATTGCTCTGTTATTTCTATGATCAGAAATCGAATCAGAAAAAAACATAACAGCAACAATCTCAAAAAATACAAAAATCCGCGTCGTGACTTTAAAAAAATTATTTGGTTGGGCTGATTTCAAAAACATTTTCGGCCTTCTTTTTGAAGATTTAAACTAAAATTTTTCGAAAAAATTGAAAAGTTTTAACAAACTCTCGGTTTTAAAACTTAATTGTAAAACAATTAAGAATTAGGCTCAATAACATTTAAAAAAGCCAAATGAAACTATAAAGTGGAATTGCAAAATGAAATTGATGCTACGCTGTGGAATGATGCACCAATTTTTTTAAATGTTTTTTTTCCAAATTTTTACCAGAAACTGCCGAGTTTCCAGGCAAATTCAGTTGCTAAAGCCTTTCAATTACCAACGCTTACCCAATTTCTTTTTTTCGCAAAAAAGAACTGAGTCTCTAGCTTGTTTTCAGCTGATGTTTAGTTGCGTGGGATGCACCAAATTAAAAAAAATTAATGTTTTTTTTTCATATTTTTAGCAAAAATTGCAGTGTTTCCTGATAAAATCAGCTGCTCAAGCCTTTTAAATTCTAATGCTGACCAATTTATGTGTTTTGCAGAAACAAACTGCGTTTTTAGGTTGTTTCTAGCACAATCGTTATACTTTTATCTATTTTAATGAGTTTTTCTCTTTTGTAACGACACGTAACAAAACTTTGAAATTGAATAGAAGTTTCGTTAAAAAGTTTAGTTATGTTTCAGAATGAAAACAGAATAAAACAGTATCTACAACAGTACTGGCCAATTTTTTCCTGTTCAATCTCTTGATCAGGTGAAAAAGAGAGTAAATTTCTGACTTTGCACTGATACAGGACTGAATTTTATTTTACAACTGTTGTTCTACTAGAACAGTACTGATAACATCTGTAACTTCAACCCGGGAATGCCAATTGAATGACAATTCAGAACGCATTTGGTCTAATTATAGTAAATTTTACGTACAGAAAACGGGAAAATTAATGAGAAAAATCTTGACAGCAGCTGAAATAAATGAAACTGCTTTTTTTTGGCATTACACATAATAACATCTTTCATTTTTTAGTGATATCATTTCAATTTTGTAACTTTCTACTAGAAAGGCTATAACAGCAAAGGCCAGCATTTCCTTAATATACTTAAAACAATCACCCAATTCTTTTGTTTTTTTTTCCTATCTTCCAGATTGGTTGGATGAGTAACACTTCTTAAGAACTTATCAAAACCAAAAAAAACCAAGCTAGCAGATGGTGGCGGCTTCTCTACCCGGGGGACGTTGTTCCTGAAGATTCGTCGGCAGGCATAGTAGGTGACCACTCCGGCACATCTTCAGTCGTATTTGATGTAATCGTGGACAAAACAAACTCGTCTGCCGTCGTTTCCAGTTTTCCTGCGGCGGAGGAAGTCGACTCTAACTGTGATTTAGTCTCAGTTGAGTTTGTTTTATAATTTGTCATTGCCGCCTTAGTCGTAAACTCGGTAATATTCCCACCAGTTGCTGTCAACTCTGTTGTGAATACTTTGTTCGACTCAGTGGTTTGAATATCTGGAAACGATTCTGTCTCATCAGTTTTGCTCACGGTAGAACTAAAATGTTTTGTCGTAGTTTTCGATAACGTTTCCTTATCACTTTCTGTTGACTTTGAATTATTTACTGCTGATGTCATTATTTCTTTCGCGGTTTCTGTACTTGCCTCCGATAATTGAGAAATTGACAATGAACCAATTTCAATCGTTGGATGCATTGAATTTTTTACCTGAGTTGTTGTTTTACCTGAAAAAATTTCATCTGTTGTCGTTCTTATTGAGATAAATGTGGAATTGGAATTTAAGTTATCATATTCCGTCACAGAACCACTCTGACTTGTTGTGATATTGAAAGCATTTTCATCCGTTTTTGGACTTTTTGAAGTATAAGTGACGTTTGAATCTAAGGTGTCATGATCTGTCAAAGTATTAGCTTGACTGTTTGTGTTAGAGGAGACAGTTTCATGAGTTGTTGTTGCGTTTGGGGTAAAAAAGACATTTGAATCTGAGCTCTCAGTTTCTGACGTTGACCTAGCTTGCCTTGTTGTTGTATTATTTTCAGGAGTTTCTTTCGTTGTTGTCCTCTTTGACGTATACGTGACAGCTGAATGTGAGCTGTCAAGCTCTGTCGTTAAGATAGACTGACTAGTTATTGTTGTATTTGAAGGAATTTCATTTGATTTTGTCGTCTCTGACGTATAAGTCCAAACTGAGTTTGAATGATCATTTTCTGTCGTTGAGCTAGCTTGAGTTGTTGTTGTGCTTGAAGCAGTTTCTTTCGGTTTTGTTGTTTGTGACGTATTTGTGACAACCGAAGCTGAGCTGTCATTTTCTGTCGTTAAGCTAGTCTGACTAGTTGTTGTATTTGAAAGAGTTTCAATTGATGCTGTCGTCTCTGACGTATACGTCACATTTGAGTTTGAGTTGTCATTTTCTGTCGTTGAGCTAGCTTGACTTCTTGTTGTGTTTGAAGCAGTTTCTTTTGTTGTCATCATCTCTGAAGTAATCGTGACACCCGAAGCTGAGCTGTCACTTTCTGTCGTCAAGCTAGTTTGACTACTTGATCTATTTAAAGGAACTTCATTTGATGTTGACGTCTCTGATGTATACGTCCCATCTGAATTTGAATAGTCATTTTCTGGCGTTGAACTTGTCTGAATTGTCGTCGTAAATGAAGTATTTTCTTTCGTTGTTGTCGTCTCTGGCGTATTTGTGACTCCCGAGCTGTCATTTTCTGTCGTTAAGCTAGTCTGAATACTTAATGTATTTGAAGAAATTTCTGTCGTTTCTGAAGTATTCGCGACATCCGAAGCTGAGCTGTCATTTTCTGTTGTCAAGCTAGTCTGACTAATTGTTGTATTTGAAGGAACTTCAATTGATATTGTCGTCTCTGAGGTATACGTCACATCGGAATTGGAATAGTCATTTTCTGGCGCTGAGCTTGTCTGACTTGTTGTTGTAAATGAAGTATTTTCTTTCGTTGTTATCGTCTCTGACGTATTTGTGACTCCTGAGCTGTCATTTTCTGTCGTTGTTAAGCTAGTCTGACTAATTGTTGTATTTGAAGGAAATTCATTTGATGTTGTCGTCTTTGATGTATACGTCACATCTGAACTTGAATAGTCATTTTCTGGCGTTGAGCTTGTCTGATTTGTCGTTGTAAATGAAACATTTTCTTTCGTTGTTGTCGTCTCTGATGTCTCTGTTGTTGTCAATGAAGCATTTTCTTTCGTTATTACCGTCTCTGAAGTATTCGCGACATCCGAAAGTGAGCTGTCATTTTCTGTCGTCAAGCTAGTCTGACTAATTGTTGTATTTGAAGGAAATTCATTTGATGTTGTCGTCTTTGATGTATACGTCTCATCTGAACTTGAATAGTCATTTTCTGGCGTTGAGCTTGTCTGATTTGTCGTTGTAAATGAAACATTTTCTTTCGTTGTTGTCGTCTCTGATGTCTCTGTTGTTGTCAATGAAGCATTTTCTTTCGTTATTAACGTCTCTGAAGTCTTCGCGACATCCGAAGCTGAGCTGTCATTTTCTGTCGTTAAGCTAGTCTGACTGGTTGTTGTATTTGAAGGAACTTCATTTGATGTTGTCGTCTCTGAAGTATTCGCGACATCCGAAGCTGAGCTGTCATTTTCTGTCGTCAAGCTAGTCTGACTAATTGTTGTATTTGAAGGAACTTCATTTGATGTTGTCGTCTCTGATGTATACGTCTCATCTGAACTTGAATAGTCATTTTCTGGCGTTGAGCTTGTCTGATTTGTCGTTGTAAATGAAACATTTTCTTTCGTTGTTGTCGTCTCTGATGTCTCTGTTGTTGTCAATGAAGCATTTTCTTTCGTTATTACCGTCTCTGAAGTATTCGCGACATCCGAAAGTGAGCTGTCATTTTCTGTCGTCAAGCTAGTCTGACTAATTGTTGTATTTGAAGGAAATTCATTTGATGTTGTCGTCTTTGATGTATACGTCACATCTGAATTAGAATAGTCTCTATCTGGCGTTGAGCTTGTCTGATTTGTCGTTGTAAATGAAACATTTTCTTTCGTTGTTGTCGTCTCTGACGTCTCTGTTGTTGTCAATGAAGCATTTTCTTTCGTTATTAACGTCTCTGAAGTATTCGCGACATCCGAAGCTGAGCTGTCATTTTCTGTCGTTAAGCTAGTCTGACTGGTTGTTGTATTTGAAGGAACTTCATTTGATGTTGTCGTCTCTGAAGTATTCGCGACATCCGAAGCTGAGCTGTCATTTTCTGTCGTCAAGCTAGTCTGACTAATTGTTGTATTTGAAGGAACTTCATTTGATGTTGTCGTCTCTGATGTATACGTCCCATCTGAACTTGAATAGTCATTTTCTGGCGTTGAGCTTGTCTGATTTGTCGTTGTAAATGAAACATTTTCTTTCGTTGTTGTCGTCTCTGACGTCTCTGTTGTTGTCAATGAAGCATTTTCTTTCGTTATTACCGTCTCTGAAGTATTTGCGACATCCGAAGCTGAGCTGTCATTTTCTGTCGTTAAGCTAGTCTGACTGGTTGTTGTATTTGAAAGAAATTCATTTGGTGTTGCCTTCTCTGTCGTATATGTGACATCTGAATCTGAGCTGTCATTTTCTGTCGTTAAGCTAGTCTGACTGGCTGGTGTATTTGTAGAAGTTTCACTTGTTGTCGTTTCTGTTGTAAATGTGACATCTGAAACAGAGCTGTCTTTTTCTGTGGTTGAGCTAGCCTGATCTTTTGTAGAATCGGAGAAAATGTCATTCATTATTGTCGTTTTTGGCGTATGCGTGATATGTGAATATGAGCTGTGGTTTGTCTCCAACGAGCTAGCCTGACTCCTTGTGTGATCTGAAATTGTTTCATTTGCAGTCGTTTGCAATGGCGTCGTTGAAGCAGTAGCAGGGGTTATCAAGCACAAGTCCGTCGAATCATGTGGTACCAGAATTTTATTTTCAACCCATTTTTTGATCTCATACAAACCGCCGGCGATTTTGTTCTGCCCGCAACCCGATTCGTGTTCCCTATAGACTCCAAAAAGACCATACAGGCACTTCGGTGTTTTCAGGTCCTTGTCGAGAACATACAGAGGCGAACCCAAAATGAGATTTTCAGATCTCTCTTCAAAATCATCTTCAAATTCAAAGCAAATTTGATCATATTTTTTCCCAGCTTTTTCGCTAATTGAAAAGTCTTTTATTTGCTTAGATCTGTCGCCAAGCATAGTCCCATAAAGAGCTAAGGGTTCTTTTCCGTAGCTTTTCTTGCTGCAAACTGACAACGCAATATCTGGTCCATGCAATGGAAACCGAAACGAAATAAGACGATAAAGGTTCGATTCTCTACAAAATTAAACAATTTATTTTAAAAAGCTTGATTTTTTTTTGAAAAGATTTGGAAATTAACTTACCTATAGCAAAACAAATTTGCCTCACCAACATAAATTGTCCTTCCTAGATATCGAGCTTCCAAACTTCCTAAAAAACAAAGAACATTCGCAAATGTTAGACAGAAAGAAAAAATGAAAAACAAAAAAATATACATAGCCAATAATCGCAAATAAGAGTCGGTGAACGCAAGTAAATAAAAAAATACTTTTTGTTTTTTAAAAAAAAACCCAGCTTTTGAATAAAAAAATGACCTTGAAGCTCTTTGAATTTCTAGAAGAATTTATGATTGAAACTTTGTGATAAAATAAACCCAATTGAGAAAACTGGATCAATAGGTATTTTTTTATTCAACAGGGAAATCTGAAAACTAAGTTCCATTTTCAAAACTAGAAGTCATCACCTTCTTTTGGCCTTTACACTTTCGCCCCTCGATGGTGGAATTTCTTTCAACAAAGAAACTGCGCTGAATTTAAAAGGAAATCAAAAATCAAACCGTGAAAAAGTACAAATGAGCCTGAACAAATTTTCATTTTCATTTGACTTTTCCTGAAAAAAAAATAAAGCATTCGTCGACTCGTCGTTTCTTAAAACTACGTGCATCGAGTCGTAAATATAGAACCTTTTTAGATAATTTTAAAAATTCAAAAACCAACCGTACTTACTAATCTCCTTGGACCTCTTTAGTTTTATAACAAGAATAGGAGTGAAAAAATTGAAACTTTCGTTTTTTTTTTTATAGAAAACTTCATCAAAAACAAATTAAAAATATTGAGCCCCAAACTTGTACTATTTAAAATTTATCCTATATTGATCAACCGTAACCTATAATTTGGAGCCGATAGCTTTCCAGCAGTAAGGCTGACCTATATGATCATTTTTTTGTGTTTACATAATTTTTTTCTAAACTTGACTATAAAACTGTTTTTTATTATGTATATAAAGAATTTAAATAAAATTATTTTATTTATAAACTTTATAGATAGCTTATTAAAAGTATGGACTAAAATTTGCATTGGAAAATGAGTTTGTATAACATCGAATAAAATTTAGAGAATATAATGCAGTCAACTCTTTTTTTAATGGAAAGCATGCTAATTGCAAAAATTTATATATTACTTGACATCATACTATCCTAGCTTTTCCAGTGCACGTCTGTATCATTTTTTGCTCCACTAAAACAAGTATTTAAGCATGAGGTCTGTTGGAAGTTAAAAAAAACCTGCGCGTATCTGTGTGAAGCCCTGATTGCTCCGATTTCCTTTCAAGATCCATTTAGCAATGTTATTTTTTATTAAATTGATGAATCTTTGAAAAAAAGAGAGAAAAAATGGGTAAATTGTTCCAGTAATTTCAACTCAAAAATTTTTGCAGATAGCTAAATTTTTAAAAAACTAAATAGCAAGCCTCAATTATACAAGGAACGAATTCCAAGGCGGGTTAAATCTCAATTTACGTGTTAATATCGCAAAAGATATTTAGCGCACTAGTTCCCTCATAACTTTACAAACACTCTGCAGAGGTGAAATATTGTTTCAAATTTGAGGTCAAGACTAATACTTTTCGCATGATATCAAATAATTCCGTCGAAAATGGCTAGTTAAAAATAGAAGTTTGTCTGCAGAACAAATCCACTCCGAGCACATATACTCCGTCTATTCTTCCCCCAAAATAGTCCGAACAACAAAACTTTTTGTATAAGGGCATAACCCTGAATATTTTGATAGCCTTTTAAGTCAATGAAAATATTTTTGCTTCAAAAAAATATTTTGTAAAAGACTGAAAAAAATGAAGAAAAGAAATTTTTCATTGGCCGTACAATCTCCACCCCTAAGTGATTTTCCACAGGTTACATTCCCCAAGTAGGAAATTAATCTGAAAAGTAATTCAGCATAAAATATGCAATTCATAGAAACGCGCCAATAAAATTGTTTTAATTTTCTATTTTTTGAGGGATTGCTTTTGCATACTGTTAATTACCTAAATTAATGTTCTATATCAATTTTCTGTAATGAAATGGTTACATTTGATTAGTTCGAGGCTATGCTCAAAGTTAGTTCAGGAAAATTTATTTTTTATTTTCCTAATTTGCTTTTTTTGGGGGGGGGGGGGGTGATTGTTTTTGATTGTACTGCTGATACACAACGTTAAATGACTCAACTACTTTCTTTTTTATATACCTTCGCAGGCTATGTTAGGTACAAAATGTAAATTTTTTGTCTGTTGACATGATATTAATTGCAGGTCGCTTTCTTATATCGAATTTGAAATTGTTTCTTTCGCCTCTCATGCTTTAATGAGGACAAAATATATTGCGCGTTATATTCAAACGCGGTATGTTCAAATTGTCATAACTTTACAAAAAAATCACAAGTGAAATAATGTTTTATTTTGACTTCAGGATCTCAAAAACTTTTGCTTAGATAATGTTATAAAATCAGCTCAAAGTAGCAAGTTAAATAATCAGAGAATTTGTCTGACAAAAAATTGCCACACAAAAACGTTTCGTCACTTCATTCGAAACTTGGAAAAAGAAGAAAAAAAAGAAAGAGACTATTGGGATCAATTGAGCAATCTCCCCCCCGTAATGACCAATTGAGCTATCTCCCCCCAGCAAAAATGAATAACCTCTTCAAAAAGACGTCAGCAAACGCAAGTAGATGGATGGTGTGTTTATAGCACGCAATCAATTGACCGATTGAAGTTTATCTTGAACAAGTATCAAGAAAAACTTTGAAAAAAAATCGAAATTTATGAAAAAAAATTTTTTTTTTTTGCAAAATTTTGTTTAGGCGACCATAGCCTCATCGAAGAAAGCGATTTACCAGGGTTGGTGCTCTAGCCTTGTATCTCAATAGCAAAAACGGTTCTCCGCAGCACCTTAATTTTGTACGCAAAAAACTTTTTGTCATTTTAAGAAAGAAAAAAGTCGCTTTTTATGCCTGTTTTATTGATTCTTTTTTCAATCTAAATGAAACTTTAGAGCTTTTTTTATCGTAATATTTGGCTTTCCACAGTCGTTGGAAACTATGTTTTATGCTTTCAGGTCATTCAAACTATTTTCAAGTGGTTATAAACATGTCTCAAGTACCTATTGAGCTTTCTCCCCCCACGCGAGAATGGGGGGATTGCTCAATTGATCCGACTATTGCACTACGTAGCATGAAAAAAGCGTTCAAAAAGCATAGCGAGAAGTAATTGTGTAATTCTCATAATTTACTTTTTGAGAAACTAACCCATATTATTTTTATTTCACGCCATTAAAAAGCTGAAAACATGTTTATCTCAGAAAAACCTCCTATTAACTGCTCGTTCAGACATCTAGCTCTTGATGTTGGTTTTGCTCCCTGATCGGGCTCCTTTTCAACGTGACTATTATTTATGTGTTTTTTTTTTGTTTCGGATTCATCAAACTTTTCTTACCAACGTGACCTCGAATGCATTCTGCTGCTGTCAAAATCCAAAACTGGTCCACGAATACCCCAGCACATGTCTTATTTCTCACACCCACAGAAGAGACTTCAACGTAGAAACTAAATTCCCTTTTTTGGTGATGGTGTCCCCTCGGTGCTATTTCGTCTTGCCCATGATAGTAGTCATTACCGCTCGTCTGCTCAAAGTTTCTACAAACTGCTACTTTGGGCATCAGCAAGATAACAAAGACAGAAGCACACCTCAAAATCATGGCGGCGGCAATTGGTTTTCTGCTTTTTTGTAGAGTTTTTATTTTCCTAATTGAGCAAAAGTAATAGCAATTTCCATGTTACATTACAGGTGAATAAGTCACGCCAAGGTTCAATTTAAAACACTAGTTTTGCTCATAAATGAAATAAATCAGTCGAGAGCAATTTGGATCTGTAGCATTTTTCTGGACCTTACGCGATCTTCGCGGCTCAAAAGCCCCTGTGATGTTGCGAATTATCGGTCGCGCCATCCCCTTTACGCAGCCGTTTTCTGTCCGGCTGAAGTCGCAGAACTTGACCCTGGTCATCATATGACAGAATCGAAGTTGAGATGAAGGTGTTGTAAAAAGTTAACACTTTTATACGCAAGACAGTTAATTTTTGAAATTTGTATAGCAATTGCTTAAGCTTTCGAATTATCAAAAAATTATCTCCAGTTCAGGCAAAACAGTCCTGATCGCGATCAACTGAACCTTGAACAAGATCAAATAAGTTTTTGAATTTGCAATTACTTTTGCTCTTCAGTATATAATTTGTATATCTTTTCTTGGAAGTCTTAGTTTTTTTGTTTTTGTTTCAATTTTTGTTTTGTCAGCAAAAAGGTCACTCGTGTCAGGGTCGACTTCTGCTTTTATTTAAGCCATGGAAGTCAATCACTGTGACTTCAGATATTTTTCCATATTTTATATCGAAAGTAA